ACTCCACTCCACTCCACTCCACTCCACTCCACTCCACTCCACTCCACCACTCACTCACTCACTCACTCACTCACTCACTCACTCCACTCACTCACTCCACTCACTCACTCCACTTTACATCCTGCTAGCACTGCCCGCCGTGGTCGGGATAAGACCACTTGATAGCTTTGATGGTCGTTTCGAGTGTGTTACGTTTTGAAGGTCTCATGCGGATCTGATCGCAAAATCCAGAGCCTTCTCTCTCCGCCTCCTTCTCTCTCTCTCTCTCTCTCTCTCTCTCGTCCCTCTCATCCTTGTTCATCACATCATCAGACACTTTATCACACACCCACACACACACACACATGCACGCCATCTTACCACACACACACACACACCTCCTCCCTCCCCTCCTTCTCATCCTCGTCCATCACATCATCACTTATACTACACGTCTTAGCACAACCGCCTCATATACCTTCTCTCCTAACACTTCGTTCTTGACTTTTCATCTCACTACTCCGTCTCCCATGTGATGTTCATATACAATTGAAATTTGTAAAACTTATCTATGTTGGCCCATCTTGGGGGCTGCGTAGGCCCATCTTGGCGCTATCTTGGCCCATTTTGGGGCCATGTTGGCCCATCTTGGGGGCTATGTTGGCCCATGTTGGGGCTATGTGGCCCATGTTAGCCCAGCATCCGCCCACGATGCACACGAAGCACCCCGGTGGGGCACGCATTTCCAGCATTTTTTGGGCCTATGTCAATGTTGGGCCATGTTGACCCATCTTGCGCCGGCCGCAAGAGCCGAAAAATTGCGAAAAATTGAACAAGCCAAAAACACTGTAAAGCGCGGTAGCTTCAGATGGTCCGCACGGTCGGCGGGGGTGGGACTCCCCTCTCTCCTACGGAGACGAGAGATGCCGGATATACGCTCGCCGCCCCTGCCGCCGACCCACCGCCGACCCTCGTCATGAAAACGGGGGGACCCCTTCCCACTTCCGGTTCACTGAAGCCCCTGTAATTTACAGCGCTTCGTGTGTGTGAGGTATAAAAAATACTGTGCTTTATAGGGTCTATTGCACATATCGAAGTACGACGCGGCAAAGATAGAGATGCAAAAACGCTGTGTTTTTCAAGGGTGGTGTCGGTAGTGCGCGCCGGGCGGACAGGCATAATCAACATTTTGTGGGTAGAGGCCCTCCAAACGACTTAAATTGCCTAACATATCCTCCATATAGGCCCAAGATAGCCAACATATCCCCAACATATGTCCAACATAGCCTCCAAGATGGCTCAACATAGGGCCAACATAGGCCAACATGGGGCCAACATACGCCAACATAGGCCCAACCTAGGCCAATATGGGCCTAACATAGGCCAACATAGGCTCAACACAGGCCCGACGTAGACCACATGGGCCCAACTTGGCCCAACCTAGGGCCCAGTACGCCCCCGATAGCTGCGCGTGCACCCGACCCAGCCCTACACAGACCCTAGTGGGCCGGCGCCTGGCTGTTAGGCGTAAGCCTTTAAATATATATATATATATACAAATACATATATATAACTATAATATATGTGTGTGTGTGTTTCACTCTACCTCAGGCAGGCATTCCATCTGAACTTGCTTCTAATCATCTGATCTTCATATTGGAGGAAATCAAAGGTCAAAAAAACACCCTGTGACCCTGTGACAATTGTTCTTCAATGGAAAGCCATTGCTAGGCGCGCAGTCATTGTATGTCACCGTCATCTGCAAATGTCTTTCGGTCAATTGAGAAGGTTGAAGAAACAAAATGTGGGACTCTGGGACCTTGCTCTGTCCAAAACGCAAGCTGAACCAGTTGAGAACCAGTTGAGCTGCCACAAAGCCCACCCAAACACATCGCATTCGCATTCAGAGCGAGACACCTGCCGTGGTCAGGGCCTGCGATCAGCTCCTCAGGCCGAATGGACTCACCGGCCAGGCTTGGCCCGCGGTTCAGCTCCGTCGAAGAACTGCAAAAGAACCTGGGCAAAAGAACAGCGCGGTTCGGTCGAACAGGATGGTGATGCTATGGTCGAACAACTAGCTTCCCCACCTTTAGATGAGCAGGTTGCTTGCCTGCTAGGCAAAATATCGCTCTAAGGAAACTGGATGTTCCGGTTGCTTGCTTTGAGTTGTTTGATGTTGTTTGAACCCAAGGCAGTGGAATTCCTACATGGGAACTCCTTTCTTTCTCTCTTGGCTACCTTCTTTGATCACAAGGACATCCTTGTTTAGTCAAGGTAAACATAATCGTTGGGGCGGAATGTCCTGAGACTACGATCACTATACATGCATCAGTTGAATGTAATCAAAGCATACAGTAACTCTCAGTCAATTTCACAACCTTCAGAAAAAGCACCCGTTTTCCAGCTGCAACTAAAGGGCTCGAGGCGTTCGACAGCCACAGATTGACAGCTTTGGCCTCGCCTGAGGGTGACTTCACCCGCAACGAAGCTCCCCTCCAAGACCAAAGCATAGTAAGGCATCGAGCTGACCCTGCCAAGCTGTCATGTGCATTGACAAATGCCAGCAATGCTTCACATTAGCCACTATCGATTCTTGTTCATCCAGAATGGGCTGGCAACTCCACAAATTCACCCAATTTGCATGAAGTGTAAACAGAAACGGTCAAAGATTGCGTAGATTTTCCGTGTCATGACTTTGTCCGAAAACATCTGTTCGACATTCGACAAGCCGTTTTGTCAATGCCTCTCAAGATCTCGGACTGCGGCTCCAGGTGGGCAACTGATCACCTTGACCTTGTGATGCTCGAGAAGACGGTGACAATGCTCAAAAAACGAGAATCACGTCTTCAAATCAACTTGGGACCCACCATATCACAGCTCGAATTGCGCCGTGCGCCCAGCCTGGTTGCTCATGATGCACTGCTGACGTGGCCGAGGGAAGCTGTCAAACCAAGGCGTCCGCCGCAATGAGAGGCCAACCTTCCACAGCACAAGCATGCCATGGTCTGGTTGAGCGGATCCAGTGGAACAAAACAACCTATACATGACATGCCAAACAAGCTGATAGTATGCCCCTAGATCTAGTCACTTAAAAGGCTGAAGGCATATGTAAGACAACTTCTTTGTAGTCCCATCAAATGCACGTGGAACGTACAAAAGAGTTGGTCGTACAGAAGAGTTGATCTGTCGGCGAGGCACCCTTGTGTTGTTGCCTTCAAAGCTGTCCATTTGCATTGATACACGAAAGGTTACAGGTGCTTCAATGAAGAAATGCTCGCTTCACTGCATGAGCTTCTCTGCAGCTAAGTGACAAAGGCTTTCTCCAACTGCAGTTCAACATGCTCGCCTGCCAAACAAACAACAATGAAGAGCACATGACACCTCATAAGCAAGATAGACACGTCTTCAACCGATTCAATGAATCATCGTAGAGACTTCTTTTATGGCACAAGTGCTGCAAAAAACATGTCAATGCTCTGACACACATCAAGGCACAGCTCTGCCTAATACCGAAGCCAGTTTCTCAATGAGGACACAGACCAGGCTCGTGTCACCGACAGCCACCAAGTTGCCCTGCTCTCTCGCTCACTCTTTCTCTTATCCAGCGGCTTGCTTGGCTGATGTGCTGATCCATAATTATATCGGGTCTTCATAAACATACACTTTATAATACTGGAGCCTTGCTGGCCTTTACATGGTGCAGTGGCGCCAAGTCTGTGACTTCGCGATGTTCTGTTGATCTGGCAATTGTAAGGGCCAACCCTTCTGAATTTGTGGAGGCCGGGAGATGGGATCAAGGCCCCAAAAAGCCAATGCAGCAGCGACTTCACAAAAGTTGGGTCCCATCGCACGTCACTGAGCTGCCAACTTACATCCCATCTCAAAAGTATTACAAATGTTTTGTCATATCATATCGGCTATCTGAAACTGATACTGATTTGTGCTTCCACAACAAAGACAAGAATAAATTTGTCTCTCATGCTGCGCCTCTAGAGTGTGTGAAGCATCTATCCTCAGGTAGTCCTCACCGAAGACACCCCCCGTGCCCACCTGCCAGAGGAGCTTCGGGCTAGCAAACAACGAGTTTCCAGTGGCATGTAAAGATTCCGGAGTCTAATTATCCTACTGAAAATTGCAATTGTCTAGTGATCTTCCACATTGACTCACATCCCTCAAAAATCTGACTCTGCGTTCTTCTTTTGGTGAACTTTCGACACCTGGGGCTGTTCACCTACCATGAGTTTTGGTTCTGAATCCTTTGATCGGTGCAGCCTCTTTGATCGGCGTGCCGCCCAGCCAGTGGGTACCTTCACGCTCTCCACCTTGAACTAACTGGAGAGCTCCACTCTTCACCTCGAAGTCGTCAGCAATAGAGTATCCAAATCTCCAATCGAATTGAGCTGAGAGATAAGAAATAGTTGTAGCTGGATCAGACTGCTTTCAATGGTGCCTCTCCCTTTTACCGAGAAACCGCCACCAGCCCCCCTCCTGAATTGTGCCAGGTTGCCAGGTACAATCGCCGACATTCCTCCCCCTCTGACGCCACCAAATGTCCTGATGTGAAGCTCTCATCTAACAAAGCCACCTGAGTGAGCTGCACATTTCAGTTTCTTTCGATTGGCTTGCTTCGGCTCGTGTCAAGGTTACCCGTATACCGTATACACTACAAGCCTTGAAATGCTTCGCGGCTAGTCTAAGCCTAACCTAGAGAACGCGTAGCATCAAGGTCATGCAAGCGCAAGTCTTTCCAAAGGCCATGACCCATGAAGAATTGGTACTTGCTTCCCATGAGAGAATTGATCCGTCTCACCATATACTGACCATAAATTGCGGTCAGAGGCGCTGCACCAACATTCACCTTCTGCACATTTGACAAACCATCTAAGATATGGATTCGCTCCAGAAGATGCAGATGTTGAGCTTGATGTCTTTCAGCATGATCTCGCAGTAGCTTGCGAAAGGTGCCACCTCCCAGCGCCCAGAGGCCTGAATCCTGGACAACACAGCAACACAAGAAGGTGACCCTAGGTGGAGTGTGGTAGAGAATCATCGAAATCTTTTCTCAAACCTTCACAACTGAATGTCACACCTCAACAGCCTCGCTACTCCGCCACCTCTTGCCACTCGAGGGACACCCATTTCAGGGTCACCAGGTGACGAACAGGAGGCTGGGTATTCAAAGCCGCGGTTGCAAACCTGCCTCCTTGGCAGTCACCGTGGCAGTACGTGGCACATTGTAAAGGAGCGCAGTGCAGCCAAAGGCTTGTCCTTCACGACGCGGTGTGACTTCTGTAAAGAGAAAGCGTAAAGGAGTGCTCCAAGCTCAGCAACAAATGTCCATTTCACTCGTTCACTCCCTCCTTGAACGCCCATGTTGTATAGGAATTTGGGTAGCTTAAAACTGTTACAACGATGATGATGGTTCCATAATCCACGTTTGCAAAGTAGGAAGATCCTTGCATGACTGCTAAAGTAAGTGAATAGAGCGATCCCAATTTCTGACCCTTCTGCCAACTCATTTGTCTGCTGCGACATCAAACTGCTCTCACAACCTATGTTCACCCTGATTAAAGTGATACCACTCCTCCTCCCTTTGCCTTACCAAGAGAATCTGATCTTAAAAGGTTCTGGCATGAAACAAGTTATTCCAAAGCCTCCATGCCTATCTATCCCTACCTACACTCATTTCTCGCGCATCTTCTCCTGCAACCATGTCATTGGTGGGACGTCCGTGGATGGACACTTCAAGGAGGCCAACCTCCACCATTCGCAGTGCAGCAAGTTCAGAGATGTAGAGGGGGGCCAACCACGTCACAACAAGCAAAGGCATTATATAATTCCGTGTTTAAAACCAGCTCCAAGTCCTGATATGGACCTGTTTGGGCTTTCTCGAAGTGCCAAAACCTGCGCAGTCCACCTGGCCTCCACGATGAACAAATGATCCCCCTCCTCACCCTGACGCACGATGACCTAAGACGGAAAAGCAAGCTCAACGCACCGCCAGAGACAAGGTGAAAATGACTTTTTAAAGCCTGCGGGGGAGGGGGGTAGACCACGAGAGGTAGCTAGTAGAAGAAGTAGCTAGTAACTGCTAGTAGCTCAAGTAAGCTTCTAGTAACTGGATGTAGAATAGTTCACGCTTCTTCAAGGAAGCTCCCCCCGCCTGAGGGTTGGGGAGCTTCCTTGAAGAAGCGTCAGCTATCCTGCGTCCATAGGTAGTAGCTTGCTTGCAGGTAGAGGAAAAAGACAAGGTGAAAATATTCTGTTGCAATTCACAGAACCTCCCCAGCTGAGAAGGCGTAGTACTCCAGGTCTTTGCAAAGAGCTTCCACCACATCCCTCAAGAAACAGATGAGAGACAAGAAAAAGGGTGAAGGGGTGGATGCAAGAATTGCATTGGAATGAGGTTGGACTCTATCCTCTTGCTATCGATCAAATCAAAATCGAAGCCAGCCAGCCACATGCTTCAGGCGGCCAACTGTGTCCCATTCCGTGACACTCGCAGTGAACTCACCAAACGTCACACACCTCACACCTACAAAAACAGTGTCAGAGGTCAGGCAGCCCTGGACTGTGAGACCCATTCATCCCAAAAGACTTCGGAGCAGGACCTCCTGAGCATTCCTGAGCCATAAACTCTTGTGCAACCCAAGATTCCGGTCCAAGTTCTTGCAAAACCGACTTCTCTTCAGACTGGCCTTGGCTGCAAGGCCAAAAGCTCTTGACTAAAACGCAATTGGACCGACTTAGGGGAAGTACTTATATACCCAGCTACAGCTGGAGTGTAAGTTCTCTGGCTGTACCGTATCAACTGTAAAGTACTCGCGTTGTTCTACCATTGTGTGTCAATGTGTGTCATATGTTTGTAATCCCTTCAAAGCACACTTGCTGATTTAGGTGGCAAAAGCTGAAACCCTTTGCTTCGACTCAAGCTGTGGTTGCCAAGCAACAATGACAGAGGCTTTGGAAGCCTTGCACGTCGAGACTGACAAGTACTCTAGGACTGGCAGTTTGCTTGGCATATATATATAATGCAACCTTAATGAAGCATCGAATTTGAGATGCCTAGTCTTCAGATGTCCAAATCGAAGGAAGCAGAGATCCGACCCACGTGTAATGGGAACTTCAGGTTTGGAGCATATTCCGCTCAAACTGGTCGCCATACTATATGTTGGAAAGCAAGAAATGGTGGACGTGTGCAAGTCTCTAGTATCTTCAAACTTGCAAGCCATTGAATCAGTGATTATTTGCTGGTGGCCGCTATAGCCTGCCTCGCTGATGCTTCTTCGTTGCTTCTTCTTCTGCAAACGAAGTGTTTCTTCGCAGACATCCGAATGACGTGGAATCGCCTTGAGTCCTTGGGCCACTCCGTCTATTGAGCGAAGAGAAAAGATCAACTATGGATCCCTACTAGACCAACGCATAATTAGTTTCTGCTGACAAAGGATGTTGGAATCTATATAAATGAATAATAGATCTATAAAAATTGATAGTAAATGATCGAAACGATTGCAGTTAAAGATTTTACTGTAAGTGCGACAAAGATGAGGAGCAAATGCAAGACTCTACAGTACCTGCCGATTCAAAGCGGCCAAAGAGAATGTCTGGATGCAACAACCTATGGCAGGGAGACATAAATATCATTAGTCGGTCAGTTCAATCATGACTATCGATTAGCAGAGAAGATTCCCCCAAACGTAAAGAGGAGCTTGACATTTGGCTTCGGGGGCTTAGAGGAAGCCAAGCCACTTCGGACCCGATCAGAGCTTGTGATGCTTTCATCTCCCGAGCACCTTCTTTCAGGTACCTCCGTGTGCCAATCGAACGAGCAATGAATTGTCTCGTCAAATACAACAAAAATGCCATATAGAATCATAGAATGTCTGGCATCCAGGAACTTGGATCGAAAATTAATTCGGCTCTGTGCTGCACTGGCAAAGCAAAATTTGACGCTTTTCTTGTCTTCACACTAAAGTCTTTTTGATTAGCATCACAACTGCAGTCTTAACAGCAGCACTCCGATCCGGTGCCTCTGTGTAACCATCTCTGCTTCGGGCACTGAGAGGTCCATTCGGGAGGTCTTGACTTAAGTCATTGGCCATGGACCATGCGCCACGAGAGAGAAACCTTTGGAGTTCTCCCGCGGAAAGACCGCTAGTCAAGAAAAGCCTGCAAACAATACTGCGTCTGCTCATTGTTGCGAAAAAAAGGATTCCTTCAGTTCAATGCGAAGAAAGATGCCAAAACGTTGCAAACTGTTCAACCTTGCTCAAACTAAAGTTGTTGAGTGAAATGGTCGCATATCATGTGATGACTCTGAACTACAATAATAAAAAATCTTTGAGCCAAGCCAAAAAAACGATTCTGTCAAGCCGCTGGACTCGGTCAAACCGGCAAACGATTATACAATTCAGTGATATCTTCAATGTGGCTGTAATCACACTTCTCCCTCCGATTTATGATTTGCACTTTCTGTGCACACTCCCCGAAGGCAGAAAGGATGAATGCGCGCCTTGGAGAAGGCGACGAGGCTAGGCCTTTCCAAGACCCAAGCGTTTGTGCGCTAGACTTGTGTGATGAAAAAAATGCGGAAGCTTGCGGCTTAACTTTGCAAGCCAGGATTGGTAGGAATGTGTTGAACAAGAGCCGAGCCATGATCTTCAAAAGAACTCAAGCACGTTGCCAATGCTACGTTTGCAGCAACAATGATGACGCTGATCAACATCAGAAACATTGTACGGAATTTCTCTCACTGTCATTGGAAGAGGATGGACTCACTCTATATTCTATTTTTTTTTCTCGCTCCTTTTCTATGGTGACGAGCTGGCCGGTTTGGCCGTGAAAATCAGGGGTAGCTGTGTGCTAGCCTCCTGATGTCCGCAGGGCGCCTTCAGCGTCTTGCTCGGCATCCATCTGTCCTGATGCCATGTGGCTTGTGCCTTGCATGCCTGACAGCGGAGGCCCTTTGCCTTCCTCCACATGCGGTGAGAGGCATGTCCGCCCCAGGACTTTTCCGGATGCCATGCCTGGTTGATGCACTTCTCAATGGCCATGGCTCTGATCTTGTCCTTGGCCGCGTTGCGCAGAGTGCGCGTCCCACAGTGCTGGCACACCAGGTAGCTTCCCTGGTGCTTGAAAAGATGCCCTCCTGCTTCCGGTAGAGTCCCGTCCAGGATCTGCTGAATCATCTGGCTTTTGGTCTCAGGTTCAAGCTGCAGGGGCGCAGCCCCGCCCAAAGTGCTGCCCGGATTGCCAACACATCGTTCCTGGCCTGCTTGAAGGATGTCAGGAAGCTTCGAGTGCAGGGTCAGGCGCCTGAGACAAAAGGTGCGTTGCTTGCCCCGACCTTTGGTGACCCAGCTGTGTGTGCCCGGGGCCGTCTCTGTGGTCAAAGCATTGAAAGCCTGCTTCTTCTGATCTTGTGTCTGGGCTCGTAGTGTTTTCCCAGTCTCTCGAGCCTGATGTGTGAAATGATCCTTGGTGTCAAGGATGTACCTGATGCGCTGCACTGCCAAAGGTGCTATCTTCTTGTACTTCTTGTCTTGCTCTTGCAGGGTTGCTTCCTCAGCCTTCGGTTGATAGGCTAAGGCCACCTCAGTAGCCGCCTTGGCGGCGTCGTGGAAACGACTCCGCAAAGTGAGTGCACCTTTGGGCATCTGCCTGACCTGCTGCATGTTCAGGCACAAGGCTTTGATCTGGTGCCTTTCATCCGCTGTGACCAAGCAGGCCAAGTCATGAAAGATGTGGTCGTGCTTGCCATGCACCCATGCTTCCCAGGCCTTCGTGGACAGGATGTGGAACCTGATCTGCTCACTCAAATTGATGTAGTGGGCGGCCATCCGCAGCCCATAGTACCATGCCCTCTCCAAAGATTGATGCCCAGGCAGGATCGTGGCCACCACTCCCAGCCTATAGAGCTCTTCTCCCAATTTGGCGTGTTGCACCAAGGCCACAACAAAATGTCGTAGTCTTGGGTCTTTGCTCGTGGCAGCAATGCCGATGGTGAAGACGGCCGTGTTGCTTATCTTCATTTCATCCTGGAGTGTCCAGCTGCCCCAGGCCTGAGCTGCTGCCCCTCCAGTGGGCAATTCATACCGAGGCATCATGAGGAGTCCCTGCGTCCAGAACTCGAGATTGATCCCGTGGTCGAGCTCGAACTGGTCATCCGCATCAAGCGCCGGGAATTGTCGATTTGTCTCCTTGCATAGCCAAAGGAGGTGCAGGAGTGTTGCTTTTTGCCCACAGTGGGGGCATTGAAGGTGCTTATCCTCTTCTGTGTCCGAGATCTTGGTGAAGAGCGCCCCTTGGTGCCATGTTGCTAAGGCAGTGCTGTTCCTGCTGTTGAGGGTTTTGTTCATCCTCCTCCAGGGTGTCCAGTCCAAGGTGTATTGCACCTCACCTAGCATGGCACGCTTGTTGATCTTTTCAATGCGTTCCCAGCGTTCAGCTCGTTTGAGCTCTTCTCTCAGGGCATACCAGTCCTCCTTCATGTCCAAGCGGAAATCTCTGCTCCCATTGTGGCCAGGTTTGGTCCAAAGCCCATAGTGAGTACAATCCCAATCCCTTTCCAGTAGATGGCAAAGTAATGCCGCAACTGGACCTTTGGCCACTTGCCAGGGATGTTGTGCTTGTAGCAGTCGCTCTCTAATGGCAGTCCAGGATCGTTCCAGATTCTTGTGTGTAGCCTCCGGCCAGTTGCCATAGAATCGTCTGTAGATGCGGACCTGCGACATGAAAGAGCCATAGTCTGGATCCTGATGTTTGTTGTGCATGTCGAAAAGGATGTCAATGTTCCCCGTGCGTTGTAGGCCAATCTGACGGCCCATTGCAGCTTTCAGCCTGCGGCGAACTTGGGGCGCCAATCCCATGGCTTCGTGGCCCCAACTAATGCCAGCAACAATGCTTCCCTTGTATAGTTTCAATCTGATGCTCCTCAGAGGGATCTTCAAAGTGGCAAGCTTCTTGGTCTTCCTGAAAGCCTTGCTGCGTCTGCCTTTGAGCGTCTGAATCCGTCGAAGTCTCCCCGCTGTGCAGTCAACGCCTAAGTCCCTCATGACGTCATGCACTCTTGGACCATCTGCGGGAAGGTGCTGTTGAAGGAGCCGCTTGGCCTCACTGTTTGATGCAATGAATCCTGTCTTTTTGGTTGAGATTTTGAGGTTGTCAGCTTCCAGCAGTTGGCGGATGTACTCATAGGCCTGCAAGGCAATCCGTGCTGCTTGGGCTGGATCACGATGTACCACATCAAAGCTCAGGTCGTCAATCCATAGGTCAGTGTGCAGGTGGGGATACTTTTTGTGGAAAGCCTTCAAGGCCTCGTACAAATAGATTTTGGCCGCCAAAGGGGCTTGAGGGTCTCCTGCCAAGATGCCATTCTGTGTCCAAACTTGATTTGAGGCCTCACCTTCTGCTTCCAGAATGCGGCCCCCCAGGTAAAGCTGCATGGCCAGTGCCGCATGAGTCTTGGGGTAGTCCGAGTCCAGCCACCTGGCGCAAAGCTTCTGCAGGCTGATCCGGTCGTAGAAGTTGGACATGTCCAGGAGGACCGAGACCACTGTTTTCTTCATGGCATTGTGGTGCTCCGTGAGGAAAGCTCTTTTTAGGGCCACCTGTAGGCACTCAGTGCCCGGGACTGCCCGTTCCCAGTGGTATTCAGCCAAGATGGTGGTTTGCCAATGCTTGGTGAAGGATTGTCGAAGACGACACCAAAGCCGATACAAAGTGGCGACCAAGGCGATGGGTCTTTCGATCTCTGCTGATTTGGGCAGAAGGGCTATGAGGGATGTAGCCCATTGCTGTGGCAGAACAGCTTGCGCCTCGATCGCATGGAAAATCTGAACAAGATCCTGCATGGCCTGGTACGGAAGGGCCTTGAGGTAGTTGAAGCTGATGCCATCAAGTCCCGGGGCTTTGAGGCTCAGGTGTTTGATCGTGATCCAGACCTGCTTCGGATGCAAAGGCGGCATGTTTCTGCCTTGTTCTGCTCCTTGCTTGATCAACTCTTCAAGGTCGGGAAGCTGTTGAGGTGAATCTTGGATGCCCCAGATGTTGCCCCATTGCTGCTTTCTGCATTCCATCCGCTCTTGGCGGGGCTTGTCTTGAAAAGGCCGGAGGTAGGGCAGTTCATCTCTTTTCAAGGATCTGTAGAGCCCCCGACAGCCTTTCTGGGAAGCCTTGACCAGCCATTCTCTGTAGGCTTGAGTTTCTTGGTCAATGGCCTGTTTTTGATGTAGTTCTCGCACTTGCTGCGTGTATTGCAAGAGCACCCGTACATGTTCTTCATCCTGCTGTCCCCAGAGCATCTGGTAGAGGAGCTGGAAGCCTTCCAAGGTGATGGCGCATTCATCATGCCAGTGGTCTTGTAGATGCCATCCCAAGCGCTGAAGGTGTTGAAGGGGAGGGTCAACCCTGTGATGCTGGAGCAGCTGTTGAAGCCGTACCTCAACTTGGCCCCAAAAGGCCAGGCTGCCTCTCTTCCAGATCCACGGTTTGCTCGGATCTTGCAAAGGCTTTTGAATCAACTGAAGCTGAGTGCCCCTTCCATAAGTGGGCTTGTCTAGCCCTTGCAGAACATAGCGCTCGATCTTGTGATACAAGGCACCGAGTTTCTGCGTCATTGGTGTTGGCTTGGCCTCCATCCATTGGACAGGTACATCACGATATTCCAGTTGATGCCACTCCAAAACCGGATTGATAAGTTTGGGCGCTGGTTGGAATTTTTGGATCTGCTGGACCACCGGTGCGGCATGGTCAGTCATCCAATGGAAAAGCAGTTGTGCATGGGGCTTAAACGGCACTTCCCAGCCCGTCTTGACCGTCAAGTCAGCAATGAGGGAGGTGGAAACCAAAGCCCAGTCAAGCTCGTTGCCACTGTGACAAGTGGCCTCACCCGTGGCCAGCACTTGCACCTGCATGATGGTACCCATGGTGGTTGTCATGAACTCTTCAGGTGTGACATTGAAATCACCACAAATGATGACCGGCTTGACTACGCTGGTGACAAAGGCGAGCAAGCCTGCCCAAAGCTGAGCATTTGTGCGCCCTTGGATGCCCTCGCCTGTGCGGAAGTAGGCCATGACCAGAAGGACTTCTGCATCAGCAA